TGGGTTATAGGAGAAGGCTGGATTTACGAGAAGGTTGGATTTACAGGAAGGTTGGGTTTTTGGAGAAAGGTTGGATTTTAGGAAAAGGTTGGATTTTAGGAAAAGGCTGGATTTACAAGAAGGTTGGGTTTCAGGAGAAGGTTGCGTTAGTGAAAGGTTGGGTTTTAGAAAAAAGTTGCGTTTTAGGAAAAAGTTGGGTTTTAGGAAAACGTTGGGTTTTAGGAAAGGGTGGGTTTTATGAGATGGTTGGATTCTAGGAAAAGTTGCATTTCAGGAAAAGATTGTGTTTTAGGAAAAGGCTGGATTTTAGGAATAGCTACATTCTAGGAAAAGATTGGCTTCAAGGAAAAGGTTGGGTTTTAGGAAAAAGTTGGACTTTAGGAAAAGGCTGGATTCTAGTAATGGTTGGATTTTAGGGAAAAGTTGGATTTTAGGAGAAAGTTGGATTTTACAGGACGGTTAGATTCTAGGAAAAGTTGGATTTTAGGAAAAGGTTGGGTTTTAGGAAAGATTGGATTTTAGGACAAGGTTGAATTTTACGAAATGGTTGGATTCCAGAAAAAGGTTGGGTTTAATGAAAATGTTGGGTTTCAGGAAAACGTTGGGTTTTAGGAGAAGGTTGGGTTCAAGGAAAAGGCTGGATTTACAAGAAGATTGTATTTTAGGAAATGATTGGATTTTAGGAAAAGATTGGATTTTAGGAAAAATAGGGTTTTGGGTAAAGGTTGGATTTTAGGAAAGGTTGGGTTTTAGGAAAAAGTTGGATTTTAGGAGAAGGTTGGATTTTACAAGATGGTTGGATTCTGGGAAAAGTTGGATTTCAGGAAAATGTTGGGTTTCAGGAAAATGTTGGATTTCAGGAAAAGGCTGGATTTTAGGAAAAGGTTCTTCCCCCAGAGGAAGCCACAGCACTGAACTTTCCCCAGGAAACGCTCACAGCTCCAACGCTCCGGGATTATTTGGATAATCCCAAGTTGGAATATTGGGATGTCACACCAATGATCCCTGCGGGTTTTTTCCCCCACCATTCCCAGATGGAATTTCCAGCACCCCAAAGGATATGGTGAAGGTTTCCACTCTGCTGAAGAAAGCYTCCCTGCTGGCAGATTCCAGGGAAAGTGCTTCCAGCTGGGCGGGGCCGTTGGCCGGCTCCGACCACTCCGATGAATCTTTCCTAAAAGAAAAAAATCATCAAGGAAAATTCCTGGAATGATWCCATTGATAAAAATTGGACAAAAAATCCCAAAGCACTTCCTATTCTCCCATCCTTATCCTGACAAAGAGCTTCTCCGCAGCTCCTCATTCCCATTTTTTAATTAATTCCTGATAAATCGATTAATGAATGTCAATCCCAAGGATGGAATGTCGATCCCGTAGATTAAATGTCAATCCCAAGGCTTCAATGTTGATCCCAAGGTTGGAATATCCATCCTAAGGATGGAATGTCAATCCCAAGGCTGGAATGTCAATCCAAAGGCTGAAATGTTGATCCCAACACTGAAATGTTGATCCCAAGGTTGGAATGTCAATCCCAAGGCCAGAATGTCAATCCCAAGGCTGGAATGTTGATCCCGTAGCTGAAATGTCGATCCCAAGGCTGCAATGTCTATCCCAAGTCCAGAAATTCGATCCCAAGGCTGGAATGACAATCCCAAGTCCAGAATTTCGATCCCAAGGCTGAAACATCGATCCCAAGGCTGGAATGTTGATCCCAAGGCTGGAATGTCAATCCCAAGTCTGAAATGTCGATCCCAAGGTTGGAATGTTGATCCCAAGGCCCGAATGTTGATCCCAAGGCTGGAATGTCAATCCCAAGGCTGGAATATCAGTCCCAAGGCTGGAATGACAATCCCAAGGCTGGAATGTCAATCCCAAAGTTGGAATGTCGATCCCAGAGATGGAATGTCAATCCCAAGGCTTCAATGTTGATCCCAAGGTTGGAATATCCATCCTAAAAATGGAATGTCGATCCCAAGGCTGGAATGTCAATCCAAAGGCTAGAATGTTGATCCCAAGTCCAGAATTTCGATCTCAAGGATGGAATGTTGATCCCAAGGTTGGAATGTCCATCCCAAGGCTGGAATGTCAATCCCAAGGCTTCAATGTTGATCCCAAGACTGAAATGTTGATCCCAAGGTTGGAATGTCCATCCCAAGGCTGGAATGTCAATCCAAAGGCTGAAATGTTGATCCCAAGAGAGAAATGTTGATCCCAAGGTTGGAATGTCTATCCTAAGGATGGAATGTCAATCCCAAGGTTGCAAGGTCAATCCCAAGGCCAGAATGACAATCCCAAGGCTGGAATGACAATCCCAAGGCTGGAATGACAATCAAAAGGTTGGAATGTCCATCCTAAGGATGGAAGGTCAATCCCAAAGTTGGAATGTCAATCCCAAGGCCAGAATGTGAATCCCAAGGGCGGAATGTTGATTCCGTGGCTAAAATGTTGATCCCAAGGCTGAAATGTCAATGCCAAAGCTGAAATGTCAATCCCAAGGCTGGAATGTCAATCCCGTGGCTGAAATGTCCATCCCATGGCCGGAATGTCGATCCCAAGATTGAAATGTCAATCCAAAGGCTGGAATGTCAATCCAAAGGCTGGAATGTTGATCCCCAGGCCAGAATGTGAATCCCAAGGATGGAATGTTGACCCCGTGGCTGAAATATCGATCCCAAGGCTGGAACATCGTTCCCAAGGCTGGAATGTTGATCCCAAGTCCAGAATTTCTATCCCATGGCTGGAATGTCAATCCCAAGGCTGGAATGTTGATCCCAAGGCTGGAATGTCAATCCTCTGGCTGGAATTTCAATCCCAAGGCTGGAATGTCAATCCCAAAGCTGGAATGTCAATCCCAAAGCTGGAATGTCTATCCCAAGTCCAGAATTTCGATCCCATGGCTGGAATGTCGATCCCAAGGCTGGAATGTCGATCCCAAGGCTGGAATGTCGATCCCAAGTCCAGAATTTCGATCCCAAGACTGGAATGTCAATCCCAAGGCTGGAATATCAATCCCGTGGATGGAATGTTTATCCCAAGGCTGAAATGTCGATTCCAATGCCGGAATGTGAATCCCAAGGCCGGAATGTTGACCCCATAGCTGAAATTTTGATCCCATGGCTGGAATGTCAATCCCAAGGCTGGAATGTCAATCCCAAGGCTGAAATGTCAATCCCAAAGTTGGAATGTCAATCCCAAGGCTTCAATGTTGATCCCAAGGTTGGAATATCCATCCTAAAGATGGAATGTCAATCCCAAGGCTGGAATGCCAATCCAAAGGCTGGAATGTTGATCCCAAGACTGAAATGTTGATCAAAAGGTTGGAATGTGCATCCTAAGGATGTAATGTCAATCCCGTGGATGGAATGTTGATCCCAAGGCTGAAATGTCAATCCCGAGGTTGGAATGTCAATTCCAAGGCTGGAATGTGAATCCAAAGGCTGAAATGTTGATCCCATGGCTGAAATGTCGATCCCAAGGCTGGAATGACAATCCCAAGGCTGGAATGTCAATCAAAAGGTTGGAATGTCCATCCTAAGGATGGAATATCAATCCCAAGGCTGGAATGTCAATCCCAAGGCTGGAATGTCAATCCCAAGGCCAGAATTTTGATCCCAAGGCTGAAATGTTGATCCCATGGCTGCAACGTCAATCCCACAGCTGGAATGTCGATCCCAAGGCTGGAATGTCAATCCCATGGGTGGAACATCAATCCCAAGGTTGGAATGTCAATCCCAAATCTGGAATTTTGATCCCAAGGCTGGAATGTTGATCCCAAGGCTGGAATGTTGATCCCAAGTCCAGAATTTTGATCCCAAGGCTGGAATGTCAATCCCAAGGCTGGAATGTTGATCCCAAGTCCAGAATTTCGATCCCATTGGAATTTCGATTGACATTGGAATGTCAATCCCAAGGCTGGAATTTTGATCCCAATGCTGGAATGTTGATCCCAAAGCCAGAATTCCAACCCCGTGGCAAGTGCTGCCCTTTGGCCCCTTCCCACCACCTCCCACGAGCCCAAATTCAGGGATTTTTGGGATGGGGTGAATGGCACCCCTGGGACATCCCCAAAGCTCAGCCCCCAGTGCCTTCCAGCCTCCCCAGTCCCCACCAGTAACCCCTGGGACTCCCAGTGCCCCCCCAG